AAATTAATTTAACTAAAAAATTGAAGATATCTTCTTTATTAAAAATAAAAATTCAAAATAATTTTTTTTCCCTAAAAAACAAAATGCTAAAACCATTATCGTTGTGCAGGATTAATTAGTTTTTAATTTTTATAAAAGTTACATAATTTGAACTTAATCTTTATAAAATTTCCTTTTTTAAAATATGATCTTTACTTTTTTATAATTTTTTTTTAATTTCTATAGTTGATGTGATCTATTAAAATACTGTCAAATATCTGATTAAACTGAATCACATGAAATAGTAATGATTAAAGATAAACTAAATATTTATGTTATGAAAAAAAATGTAAATTTACTCTAGATTAAAGTGTATGTGATCTTAATTCACTGGAATTTAAGGATAGATGGGCTTGTAATTACTAACTTTTAAAAAGGATTTTGCTAATAATAAATGGCAAATATTTGGTTATTTGATATTATTTAATTAATAAATACTAACTTTCTGTGTTTTGGATTTCAAGTAAATAAATTTTAATTATGAAGATAATGAGATATGGGTTGCAAGAAGTTCAAAAGAATACCCCCCGAAAGGATCAATAGAACCAGCGTTTTGTATTAAAGTTTTCTTTAGTAATACAATAATGAAAAGTATTCACAAAATTTGTTCCGTGCAAACGTTACTATAAATAATATATTAATGGTACATGGTGGGGTTGGTCTTATGATGTGTTACACATGAAGCTAAGATCATAAATGTTTGCCAATATGGTATCACATATATGGTTAATTGAGTACATATAGATCCCAAAAGAGATTAAAAAGAGTAAAAAGCTTTGGTTATTATATTTAATTTTTGACCGCAAAGAAAAGGCTTAGCGTTGGAACCCAAAGTGCTTTCATGGTTCCCATTCATTCCTTTATAGATATTTGTGGTGAAACCAAACACTTATGGTACCAATCAAGCTGTTTAATAAAAGTGGAAATGAAATTGTGGAAACAATGACCAAAAATCTAACCATCATATCAATTAAGCCCCATTGTGGGGCATTCCTCACAATAAAACTTAGTGGGTCCCTTCACATCAAGTTAGCCAAATCTTCCACCTGTTAGGGACTTTGGAAAGCTTCACCCATTTTCCCTGAAAGTGACAGAGAAATAGGGGACCACATTCAACTCCTAATTATTCGCAAAAATTAATAATACATATCAATCTGAAATGATTATAACCCTTTTCTTAATTGACTCGCAACCCATCTTAAATTAGTGTACTAACAATTTCACTTTTTTTATTTATCTTTCACCTTTTAAAATATCATTGAATATGATACAATATATGAGCAACATCGATCAGTCCTCGTGATCCATAAAACATTTTCAACAATCTTACCGATACCACTATCGCAAACAACGAACAGAAAAGAAAGTGAAATGCTTCATGTTTATACTATTATGTGCACAATACACCCCACAAAGGCAAAGATGACACTTTCTTAGAGTTCATGTTTATATTATGTCACCCTGATACGTTGCAGCTGATATTAGTGAACGGGACCATGTGTTAATCATGATGTGAAAGCTAGCAATTGCTCATATATATAATATATTTTCACATGCCATTGGATCTATTCATCCATGGCATTTACGTAATCCTCTCTAAGGAGTTTCTAAAACCCAATTTTGTGTTTGAGGAATTTGATCTAGTTGGTCATTTTTCCAAAATAAATAATAATAATAATAATCTATTTGATCAATGCACAAATTTCTTTGCTTGACTAATCCGATTCCTTTATTCTAAGTCAACCAACTTGTTCTCTCATTGTATACATTATCCCAAGCTTGATTAGACAAATACTTCAACAGAGCACAATTTTATTATTTTAAATTATTAGAAACTGAATAATTAAGAATTACATACTTCTAAAACCATATTTTTTCCGCTAACTAATAATATTTATGTCACAATTTTAATCCGAGTTATCATTATATCCATAATAATTTAAGACTCATTATTAGATGTCAAAGAAAGCTATTTTTATTGCTTAGACTTTGTTTCAATAAGGGTGAAAATAATCATAAAAATTTAAAATTAATTTAAAAGATTAACCTTTTTACTATATGTTAAAAAAATTAATTTTATGTATTTTTATATTATATAAATATTTTAACAATAATAAAAAAGGAATATAATAAGAAATAATGGAACTGTCCCTTTACTCCCATCACAATTTCTTCCATGTTAAGGAGACTTTTTTAGAGTGGGTCTCATCCAAAAACAATCTCCCTGTTCTCACCTAAGCATCCAACTTCTCTCTACTTCCCTATGATCCTTCTCCCAATTCAAACACAGCATTAGTGAAAGATTGTAACACTTTATTTCAGTAAGTTTTAGGTTCAATACTCAAAACTGTTGACTAGACTTTTTGAACTGAATAGCTTTCTCTTTTACTTTTCCCCTAAACTTTTGCTATAAAAATGATTAATAATTCAGTCTGTTTTACATGATGAATATGTTTAAAGTAGATGATACAGTTTGTAATATGGGGGGGGGGGGTTCTGAAGTTTAAATTTCAGTACAAAAGTTTTCAAAGTAAATATATTGTCAATGAAACTAAATAATAATATTTATTATTTTCTTAATTTATAATAAATTATATTTTTTATTATTAAAATATAAAAAATAAATAGGTTACGCTCTAATGAAGTTTTTTGGCCCAAATTTCAACCCGCTTTTATCCATCTAACTCTATCATTTGTTTTACTAGTGTTTTTAAGTATTCTGAGAAAGCACTTATTTTTGCATTGCATAGTTAAATTTGTGATATTTGACTGAAAAAGCTGTATTTATGCAATGCTCTTGTGTTTGGTGAATTAAAAAGCATTGGGTTCCACAAATTGACTAATGACTAGTCTACCATTATATATCATTAATTTAATTTATATCACCTTCACTTGTCACTTTTTCCTTTATTAAAAAGTTAAATAAAAAGAAAAAACCGAATAACGAATAATAATAACAAAATAAATATTTTTGAAGACTGAAGACTCTTGAGGATTTTGGGTTCCTTCAACAACCATGGTAAAGAACTAAGGAAAAATAGAAAACAAAAAGTTTACAACTTCACATTGCACAAATACAAACAATTATAATTGAAAGGATGAGACAAAGGGTAATGATTCAATCAAGGCCTTTCTTTTTGGTAAAAAATGAAGGCCTTGAAAATAAATAAATAAATAACGTTTAGTCTAGTCCAGTCCAGGCCCATTACGTGAACACACAATCATTACCCAATATATGACTTTTCTGTTTTTGGGGGTTTTGAGATAGAATGAATGCCCCATTGGCCCAACGCAAACTGACTTTATATAAGACAAAAGTGTGGATATCACCTATCTCATTCACACCAATATCTCAAAATATTAATAAATATTATATGTAAGAATATATAATATATTGACTACCATGTGAAACAACAGCTGGCCAATATTGAATATCTAAATGTCAAAAGCTTTTATTCTCTGAAACAATATGGAAAACTCCTTTTACATGTTTATAAAGTTTAAAGATTGAGTTTTTATTCTATTTTTTAAAATATTTTTAAGTATATATTATTGATATATAAAGTAAATTTAAAAATTTGTGAGATAATAGAAAATTTGGAATTTGGAATTTTTAATAATTTACGTTGTTTATTTTACATATTCTAAATACTTTCAAAATCATTAGGGTTCAAGCATGCGGATCAAATAGCGAATATTGTTATACTTTAATTTATGATTTTAAAATTAAGTTTTAATAAATATAACTATAGTAAATACTTTAAAATATCATCACTCTTAATTTTATGTTTCACAAATGAACAAAAAATAGATAATTATAAAAGCTAAGGGGGAGGTTTACCACACTTCCATTTTATTTGAAGATGTCCAAAACATGACAGATATTTATTCACTATGAAATACTTGTCCATCAATTTGACCAAAAGGTTGGTTTCGTTTGGAGATTCTTGGTATTGTGATAGAAATGTTATAATTGCATTAATTTAGTGATCATTCTTTATCAATATGATTTGAGTGGTTGAATCTGCAAATATTTTTTAAAGATAGTTATATTAATTTTTAGGACTAATTTTAAACATAAGAATAATGAATTTTATCAGTCTTACTAACCAACTTGTTCTTAAAAACAATGTTAGTGAATTGTCATCACAATTTTTAATGAACATTTGGTGTAGTTTTTTTTATAAATATTAATAATAAGGGTTTTTAGTATTAAATATTAAATTTTAACACCTAACATTACTTAATAACTTATAAAATATAAGATTAGTAAATTTAATTGATAGTTTGAAATTTATCATAAACGATATTAAATTTATAAAATTTTATATAAAAATAAAATTAACAAATATTTAATTCATTACTTTATTTTAATATATTATATTTAAATATATTCTTAAATATTCAAATTATATGAAATTTAACATACATAATTATAAATATAACATAAGATAATTCATTGATTGAAATAAAAAATTATTAAATAATATAAATACTAAAGTTTGACACATGTTAACAAATCAATATCATAAAAAGTTTATTTTATAAAAATACAACAAATTTTAGTATTTTAAAATCTGCAGTTAAAACTTGTATAAATATTTTTTAAAAATGAAAACATTTTCTTACTTGCCTCATTTAACTAAAAATAATTTTTAAAAGTCCAGTCCCCATGTAGACGTTTCCTTAAATTCAGTTCATAAAAGTTCCTTGTCTTTATTCTCAAAACCTGAAGAGGTTGAAGCCAAAAACCACAGTAGAAAGCCTCTGCAGAATTTGATATCAGAAATCAAGTTAAAGTCCAAGGTGCCATGTCTCTTTCAAAGTATATATACACCCATCTTTGAACCTTCATATATATGATCGATGCTCAAGATTCTTCTATGTTCTGACACGGTTTATATATTCTACGACCACCCATCATCAGAAAGAAGGTTGAAGCTAGAATTGGATCAACGAACATGACAATGAGGAAGAAAAATTGGAGAACCAAAACCACATGCGTGATTCTGTTCGTGCTTGTTCTGGCGTTTCAGATCAAGTATTCGTCGATTGTGAGATCAAAGCTTACACATGCACACAAGAAAGCTAATCCAGGTGCGTTGCAACTTCTCATTAGGCCAAACCAATTGCACAAAGTTCATTGGGTTTTCAACGAGCCTCATTGTTCATAACGTGATCAACAATGATAAATTTTTGAGAAATTATTAGGATTTGTTATGCAAGCATCGTCGATATTAACTCAGATTCATTTTATTTAACTCATATTTCGTAATTAAATTTTACAAAAACAATTAGGAATTGCATGTATATTAATGGTTCTTAAAAAGTCCCCATTCTGTAACTTCCATTGCGTCACCTTACTTATGCATCATTTATTTCTCGCTTCAACAATTTATTAGTATTAGAGTGACAATAAATGATACTTACTTCTACTTTGATAATTTCAAGTTTTTGCCATAATTGTGCCATTAAGTCAATGAATGGAAGAACAAATTTCAATTTATGACTATTTGTTAATTTGATTTTTTTAAATAAGAATAATATATATATATATAGGCAGGATCATTATAAATTTAAAAACTCTTATACTTAATTTAAATTTTTTTATTTAATTTATATGAATTATAATTTATTACCTCGGAAGTTAAATGAAAAATAAAAAAATAATTGATAATTTGGATTGAAACAAAAGAGCTTACATACTGAACGTGCATCCAGTGAAGCATTTATTTAATTTATTTTATTGCCTCTCACACTTCCAAAATCAAAGAGAACCTCTGGGAAAAATAGACATCTCACCCTATAGATTAATTAATCTGTTATTCAATTATATTTTATTGTTTTTTACATACATAATTTTAATAAATATTTAAACTTAAATATTAATATAAATAAGATTATTTATTCATATAAATTAAATTTTAATTATATTTATATTATTTTAATTCATATAATTTTCAATTTTTACTATTTAAACATTTTACCCCACAAACACGTTAACCCATTAATAAAACACAAAAAGTTGAATCTAAACCATTTTTCATAGATTTGTGGTGAGACGATATAAATTAAATCGGATTAACGTTTTATCTAACAAATTGTTATTTAGAAGTATGGAATAGTAATATGTTTGGAGTTTGGGCCCTTAATCCTAGGGGGAGTTCATTTTTCATTAATTAATAAGTAATATAGGAGAATACAAAATCTATTATTAAAGCTGACAGAATGAGTCTATTTAATTAGGTTTATCTAAAATTATCTGATAAATGTATGGTTAAAGTTTTAAATATTAAGTCTAAATACAACATAAAAAATTCAGTTTAAATTAAGATAAAGTCCAATATTAGATAAGTTCACAAAAATTTGTAAAAGTAATTAAATTTTATCTATTTAGAGCATTATTTTTGTAAATTTAAATATTTTGAGTTCCATCTGAATGGACTGAGTAATCTATCTTGCGAGCTTTAGTAGTGGCATTAATTAAATTTTGACAAATTAAATTTAAAATTTTGTATAAGAGTAATTAAAAAAATAGTTATGATGGTAAATATTAAATTTATTTTGTTATTGTAAGTTTTATTTAACAAAAATTAAACTATTAATATAAATAATAAAAATTTCTTAATAATATGATATACTGTATTAATATTTGATGTATTGATAGTATGCATTAATATTTTATACTAATAAGAGTATTTGTTGATAACTTGATATAGTGTCACATAAATTCATAATATTTATGCTAATAGTATATTAAATTTTTTATTATTACTATAAATTCACACACTTTTTCATTTTTCTCTTTCTTTGAAATAAATTGTATAATTATAATATCTCTTTTTCATTTTGTGGTGTGGGCAGTACCAGAAATAAAGCAGCTAGAAGTTACTGAATTAGAATCGAATCCAAGTGAGCAATCACCTCCCACAAAAAGACAAATCAGCTGTGACCGTTCCCATTATCATTATGACATTTGCACCATCCACGTGGCAACAGTGTTGGACCCGACCATCTCCACTTTCTTCATCCAACATCGCACCACCGTTGATCCAAATCCAACGGCCATGAAAATCCGTCCTTATCCTCGAAAATTCGACAGTATTGCAATGTCAAGGATAAAGGAGTTGACCATAACCTCAGGGGCACCAATCCCATCGTGCCACGTCATGCATGAATCCCCGGCCATGGTATTCAGTGCGGGAGGGTACACGGGAAACTTCTTCCATGAATTCAATGATGGGTTTATCCCTCTCTTTATCACCCTCAATTCTTTGTTCCACCGTCAAGATGATGGAGATGTGGTGCTTGTGATTTCTAAAGCACGTGATTGGTGGGTTAGTAAGTATGCAAATTTACTAGGTCAATTTAGCAAGCACCCCATCGTTGACCTTGACAATGATAACGCCACCCACTGTTTTCCTTCTGCCACTCTTGGTCTGGTGTCACATGGATTTATGACCATAAAACCCGAATTAATTCCTAACTCAAAGTCACTTCATCATTTCCATGCATTTTTAAGCAAAGCTTATGATGCAAATAATGTTCCATTTAATTCTCCTCCTCAAAATGCACGACCACGTTTAGTGTTGGTCAATCGATCAAGTGGGGATGGACGATTGTTGTTGAACTTGGAAGAAGTAAAATTGGAGATAGAAAGAGTTGGTTTTGATGTTGTTATGTTTGAGCCAAAACCTTCAACCCCATTAGACAAAGCATTTGCACTCATTGGTTCAAGTCACGCAATGGTTGGAATCCATGGTGCGGCATTAACACACTTGTTGTTTCTCAAGCCAGGGTCATTGTTCATTCAAGTGGTGCCATTAGGGTTGGAATTGGTAGCTGAATTGTGCTTTGGCAATCCAGCAAGGGGAATGGGGTTAGATTATAGGGAGTATAAGATTAGAGTTGAAGAGAGTAGCCTCATTGAGAAGTATAGCAAGGAAGATATGATGATCAAGGATCCTGTTGCTTTTCTCAGTGGGAAACCGTGGTCAAAAAGCACAATGGATATTTATTTGAAAGAGCAAAATGTGAGATTGGATTTGGTTAGATTTAGAAAGTATTTGAAGAAAGCATACAACAAGGCAAGGCTATTTATCTAAAAAAATAGGATATAGAAACTTGCATTGGTGAGCTTAGTTGTTTGCACCATTAAGCATTAACAATAATTTGTATTATATTTTTCAAGAAAAAAATAACATTTCATTTGTAGAATATTTTTTTTCTAACTATCTCTCAAAGGTTTTTTCATTGTTGCAATTCAAAATAATTAGTTTTATATGGTATCACGATGAGACGACCAACTTCATGGTTATATTATTTTTCTATAGTTTATTATATGAGGTCATATAATCTTAATTCTAATTGTGTACGTGGTGTACCGAATATTTGTCGTTTAATTGTAAATTTGACACTTGGAACGTCTAAGAATTATTTTTTAATAAATTGTACAGTTCTTTTTATTTAATTTTTACATGTTACGCGATTTTTTTTATATTTCTTTTGTTTTATATTGCATGTTTTAGTTTGTCTTAAGATATTAATTATTTTAAAAATTTTAATTATTATTTTTATAATAATATCTTTTTTTAGCCTCTTACTTAAATAATTAAATAAATTAATAATTTTTTTAATCTAAATTATAAGTATATTTCAAACAACTTTCCTATTTTTATAAAACATTTATATAATACTCTGATCTTAACTCGTTAATTTTGTACTATTTATTTATATAATATTTAATCTGATTAATATGATATAATATGAAATTGATGTAGATAATAATATAATATATACACATTCATCCATTTATATTTAAATTTAAATTTTCAAAACATAAAAAATATAATAATATTATTAACTTATTTTAAATACATTATATCTTAATCAAACTGTATAGAGTAACTTAAATACTATAGAAATAAATAGTAAATTAAGTTAATATATAATAGACAGACATGAGGAAAATAAAAATAACTTTTAAAACACTAAATTAAAAGCGAACCAGATAAAAAAATTGTAATTTTTTATAGGCTTGAATGTGATTTATAGGTTTTGATATGTTCTTGGTTTTTTGTGTTCTTTTTATAAAGATACATTCTGAAGGTTGGTATCACTGAACTTTTATGTGCATTAGAAGGTTAAGGGTAAGATTGGAGGAAATTCAGGTTCCATATTTTGTTAGGAATTGGGATGCAACTCAGTGGGCCAAACTTGTTGGATTTTTGGACCCAATTGTGCCTCCACACATAAATTAAAATCTTCATGCTTATCTTAATACAATTTAAATTGATTGCCGTTTAAACTCAATTATCTGTGTCTGCATAACCATGCATTACCAATTTGTTCATAACTTGATATAAAAAATTTGAGCATCAATTGAAGCGTCATTCGAAGGTTGGGTATTGGCATGAACGTTCTTTATTATGTGACCATTAGCCATTTCACCATTTACATACAATGGTTTGGGCCAAATTTAACACTTTATTTTGTATGTTGGCTAGCCTCAACCCATGCAGGAGTAGGCTGGGCCAGGATTTTATATAGCTGAAAAATTTTAGCTCTAGGCCTCTAAGCCTCTTTTTCTTAAAATAAGATGGGTCATAATTATTTTGGTGATTGTATAAGGGAAGTGTTATTGACCAGAGAGAGAGAGAGAGAGAGAGAGAGAGAGAGAGAGAGAGAGAGAGAGAGGAGAAGTGTCAATTAATCATCATTAAGTTGCATGCAAATAAGTTCAGGATTAGTTGCTTAATCATGTGTAAATAAATTATTTGACAGCACCCATAAATCATGATAAATTAAAATAACAATAACAAGGATCAATAACAATAACAATAAGATGCTAAATTAAAATCAAGGATACGAGGAACTGAGAATTAAGAAAATCAATTCGGCCAAATAAAAAAATTAATAGAGCATAAATGGTCCAATGTAAATATTTTATATCACCTTTCACACTCATGATTTAGTCCTAGGATGACATCAATGGTCCAATATAAATATTTTCTCATATATTCATAAACAAACTCTATTCATACATAGTGTCATTTCCATACCTTAGCAGTTCAAGTTGAAAAGCTTCTTTCTTTATGAATCATTGTTAGTGGAGTTCTGATACGTACATCTGAAAAGACGGAAATAGTGGACACCTTTTCCCACTACCTCTCCCACATTTTGACGCCGAAGCTGTTAAGTTTTACCCACATACTTTAATATGCACCACACCAACAATTATCACAAGGATGGCATAATTTGTCCCTATATGATATTTGTGAGTCTTCAATCGCATCATGCATATATGGTCCTATCCAAATAGTCACCATCATCTGAACTCTGAAGTGGACATATTCATGTGGACAACGTATCAAGATTTTGCTTTGTGGGAAATCATCAGCCTCTTTTGACTGCCTCTAGCTGAGTGTGTGGCTATTTCTGTCTCAATTTTGTTTCATCTCCGCGGATTCAAGAATATTAAATTGTTTCTTTCTGAAATCGATTCTTTTCATATCGATCATGTTGCTAGCAGAAGTGACCAGCAATTTTCTCCAAATCATGCATCATGTCCTCAAGAGAGAAGAATTTTGCAAGTGAATATCTTGACCATATTAAAAAAGTGAAGCTAACTCGGTCTAAATATTAGTTTTAAGAAAGTTTATTTGTTAATTAAAACTTTATAACAAGTGCTTTAATCATAAATCTAAGAATTTGTTACTTTTGCATTAGTTTTATTATTTTCATTCATTCAACAACAATTTTTTAAACATTCTATGGACTTATTTATCTAAAACTGATTTTAATGAAAATTATCCAAACAACAGTATTTTTGTGAAGCTAATTAATTTACTTCAAATTTATTTCCATCCAAAATTAATTTTATAAGTTCAAGTTCATTCACAGTTAATTTTGTAAATGTTGACATAAACGCGTACGATTGTGTCTTCTCCTGACTTTTCTTTAAGAAGATTCTTTCTAGGTTGTTTTATTCCTTCCTCACCATAATTTACACACAAACTGGACAATAGGTTGTAGTAGCTTCCTGAAGTTGGGCCTTTCTGAAACAAATGATGGTTTTGTTTGGTTTGATAATGACCATTCAAGCCGAAAGGTACCTAACGTGACGCTATAGTGGTGTTCGTACCACAATCTGGGTTGCCGGTGGTTAAAGGGATTACCATAATCATTTTCTATCACCTTTATCAATTCATGGACAAATCTTACAAATATTATTGTTAACAAGTTCGGTAATGCCTTGAGTTTTGTAATCCCATCTTGACTACTAATATAAGTATATATCTTGTATTTGGATGTGTATTTTAATTTATGTTGGTGATGTGGATGTTAACTTGTGGTTGGGCTGAAGGTGCTTGGAAAATATAAGCTTGAGGGTTGACAATGTGTTGCAGGGACATTTTTGCTATAGCAAGAAGATTCTTACTAGAAGAGTGCAGGAGAAGAAGGAAGTTTTTATGACGTTTTCATTGTAACGAAAAAATTCTTGCCACAGTGAGAAAACAAAAGAGGGAGAGAAAATTCTGGGTTTTATCTTGCTATAGCAAGGAGTGGCTATAGCGACAGAATCTCGTTGTAGCGAGATTATACAAAAAACTAGTGCAATTTTATTTGATATTTTTGCTGTAGCGAAAAGATATCTAGCTGCAGCGAAAGATGACTCGTTGTAACGAGAAAGGTCTCACTGTAGTGAAAGTGTTGTGAATCTTAAGATATTTGAGTGTTTTATGATTGAAAAAACGTATTTTCCACTTTCTCTTCCATCTCTCTTTCAATTCTCTTGACCTCTAGTCTTATTTCATCAATTGAAATACCTCCAAGGCCGTTTGTGCCTCAAATTAAAAGTTGTGGTCGTGTTTTGGACGTTTGGAAGTAAGTTTCATAAGTTAAGATTTATGTTTTTACTCTTTCTTCATTCTCCTCGATTTCTCTATGTATTTAGGATGAAAAGCCTTATGAAAAACCCTTCTATAGTTGATTTTGTTGTTGTGGGTCTTTATTCCAAGGTAAGGGAGACTCTATCCTATCTCTTTATGTTTAAATTTTGTTCATGTTGCTAGATATTTAAATGTGGTTGAGGTAGAACATAGGAAGATGAGTGGTTTTGATGAAAATTTCTTGTTAAGCATAATGAGATAGATATTGAGTAAAGTGTTTTGATGAAAGTGGTTGAATGTGTGTATACGTGTTATGTTTGAGAATGAATGTTGTGAGACGCTTGAAGATATGAGTGAATGTGTGTGAATGTCATGTTAATTTTGATTGTGATGTGTTTGAATATACAAAGTGAATCTCGATGTTGTGTAAGTGATAATGTAGATGACTCATTTTTACATTTTATTTTTCAGGTAAGTAAGATGATCAGCACCAAACTTAGTGAATGGGATGGATAACACAAAACTTAAAATTTATTTCAAATTTTATGATGTACTACATAAGTCATGTAGCATTTATTTTGATTGAAATTTATAACCCATCTTATATTTAAAGATACTTTGTTAAATATTGTACTTGAAACTATTTAAAATAAAATTTTTATTATTTTTTTTTATTAAAAAACATTTTATTGAAAAATGAATTGAAATAAATAAGGTGTTACAAGTTCTATAATCGTAAATATATTAAAGTGCCCCAACAGCGATGTTAGGATATCACAAATTTACTAAAGTATAATCTTAGGAGTAAAAGAACATTAGGTATGGGTAGAAAATTAAAAAAAAAAATACTTTTAAGTAAAAATAATTAACAAAAGGACCACGTTTTCATACTTTCAAAATTTGAGAAATCTAATTACTTCAATTGTTTTAAGGGAATTAGTTTTATCAATATTTTTTTTTTACTGTTATTGTTTATCAGACTTTTTATATATTGATTTCAATCATGGACAAAATGGTTGGCAAAATTAATCGTAATATACAGTAGATTTGATGATTTAACTAGAGAAACGGTATTTCAAATGTAATCGGACCAAATAATTAAGTTTGTCAAAACGTGGACCTTAAATTTTAAAATTTTAAACAAATAAATTCATACTTTTTTACCAATAAAATATTTATTCAAAGCAAGTTGAGGGAGAGTGAACCTAATCGAGTTCAGAATGTCCTCCAAACTATATTTTTCTCCAAATTTTAAGGAAGCAATTGTGCACTGCTCTACACTAATTGATATGCACAAGTATTTGCTCTGCTATTGTACTCAATTTGTGCTATACTGACACGTGAGAATAATCTAATTTGTTTAAATATCACTACTTTTACACTGTTATTTAGTGATGAATTATTACACTACTGAGTTTCACCACGTTTAAGACATTGAATGTACGTTTAAAAATGCATTAAAAATTTTATAAGGATAAATTTAATATTAAAAAGTTATAATTAGTAGCATTAAAATAAATATAAAATAGTGTTAATTTGAGTATGATTTCTATTATGTTATAAATCTTTTAATAACATAATATATCGTCAACGGACCATGAGAATGTATGTTAAATTATTTTAATAATTTATATAGTAATTTTTGTAATTTATAATATCACTTTAATTAAAAATTTAATATAATAATTATTAAATATAAAATATAGAGTTATTGTGAGTATAATTATAAATACATTTATAAACAAATTCTCTTTGCTTTTTAAAAAATAGAAAAGTGATTACTAAAATAAAAGTTATTGATTTTTTTTTTCACAAGCACATCCTCTCAATTATCATAAAAGAGGAAAAAAGAAGAGTTAAAAAAAAAAAATAAAAGTTTAAAAATATCAAATGATATCAAAGTATAATAAATTCATGTTAATGGTCTCTAAATATTGATTAGGCAAGAACTTGAAAATCAGCCAAAATGATATCAAAGTTTTGAACATATTTTTACTTATTAATTTTTAAAAAAAATCAGCCAAAATTTTTAAAAGTAAATATTTTTATGAAATAACTCAGTTAACTTTATAGAATTATGAATTAAAAAAAAAAGAACATGTACATAAAAAGAATACACGTTAGTGTTTCTTGAATGAAATCCATACAAAATGCAAAGCATAATGTATACGTAAGTATTGTAATTCATTTGATAACTCTCATGAATTAATTTATAATTCAGTCGATGCTTATAAATAAACATGTTTAATATTTTGGCATTTAAATTTAGAAGTAGAACTGTAAATTTAAAATCTAGTTAAGATTGCATTTTTTTTCCCTTTAGCTAAAATATAGTCCTAAGATGGAAATTAGACTATGGAACGGAAATAGCACGGTTCGTTTGATTGGCAATAAGTTGAAATTTCAGTTTTAAGTTTTTGTTAATCTGAAGTTTTGAGTTTGGGGACGGAAAAAATAAGACAACGACTGAAACTTGTTTGGGTACAAGGTAAGCATAACCTGAGATATTTGTAAGTATATTACTTGTACTTAATACATAGTCTAGATTCCAAAGTAAAGACAAGCATACATTTATATTTTTTTTCTTCCCTAATTTATTTAGAATCTTCATACGTAGCGCTATAATAATCTAATCCTGTCTTTGAACCCAACTCCACATCTTGAGCTTTATCTTGAAGGTCTATACTTCCCTTGTAATGATATCTTTGCGCCACAATCAGAAAATAAATCAAGTTCAGGACCCCAATAACTGCTATCAGATAGTAAAAGTAATCAAGCCTACCAGCATTTATATCATTTGTCAACCAATCAGGATGGCTATGTGTTCTAGTGGCATGATGAACACTGGTTACTAGCACACTGCTAACATAGCTAGACCCAGCAAAAGAACATGAGAACAATGCATTAGCAATGCTTCTCATATGCTCAGGAAATTGCCTGTTAAAGAACTCAATTTGTCCAATTACATTGAATGCTTCACATAGACCCATTAGGACTAGTTGTGGCACTAGCCATAGCACTGACATTGGAGCAATTCCCAATGGATTTGGATTCGAATTTGCTGAATCTCTTCTCACTTTTTCCACCAATGCAGCAGCAATCATGGATAGAATGGAGAACACCATGCCAATTCCAATTCTTTGGAGGAGAGTGATGCCCCCTTCATGCTTAGTGATTCTTCTAAGTGCTGGGACCATGACCCTGTCATAGAATGGAACCCACAAACCTATGGTGATGAATGATATCACTCCTAGTGAACCAGCTGGGATTTGGAATTTGGGTCCTAAGTGTCTGTCCATTTTCATGGCTTGTGACACAGTAAATGTTCCTTGTTGTGCCATAGAAGTTAAACCAAGGATACCAGCAGCCCATATTGGAAAAATTCTTGCTAAGCATTTAACCTCTTCTACTTGCTGGATGCTGACTAGTTTCCACTGATTTACCCGGCTCCCATCTGGGTTTAGCTCCCCCTCCAATATTACAGCTGCTTTATTCAACCCCCTAGAAAAATATAAATTAGTTTATGTAATTAGAACATTTATATACAATAATCTTTTCATCATAATGATTTGCAAAAATATTGCTAATCCCAAAGTTAATCCAAGTTCTAGAAGCAATTGTTATATCATTCAAGATATTATAATAATGTTTTTCTGAAAAATACTGGCCTCTTTATTGTTGAAGTGTAAATTTGAGATGCACTTTATATAAAATAAAAAAAATAAAAAGTAAACAAGAGGTAGAAAATTTTATATTTATTTTTAGTTGGGCAAAAAGTCACAGAAGATGTCGTCATTGGTAATAACTCTTAATTATTGGGCAATGATACAGGAGAATGACCCAAGCACCCATAATAATAATAAAGTTCTTGCAACATAGTATACTTCTCAATGATAGAGATATCGTACCGGAATTGGTTGGTCAACGGGAGCTTTGACAAAGCATAAGTACCATTAAGTGGAGGATCATAGAAAACCCCATCTACCTGCTTCTCCCTAGGAAGCTCAACTGCTCGCTTTTTATAAGCAGCCACTAGAACTTGAGCAATACTAGAAAAAATGCTTCCTTCTGGCTTCACATGCACATAGATCCTTGTTCCTACAAAGAACAGGATTATGGAGCAAAGCATGCAAAGGGTTGGTATAGCAAAGCCTATCTTCCAGCTAACAGAGTCTTGGATATAGACAACCACTGTTTGAGTGATCAACAAAACAATTGTGAATGTGGTGTAGTACCAATTAAAGAAGCTATTGATCCCTTTCTTCCCTTCATCTGTAGAGGGGTCAAATTGATCAACACCAAATGGAATACTACATGGCCTTATACCAGCAGAACCTATGCTTAGAAGACATAGTCCCATAAGCAGAACACCTAGATGAGGTGCGGTTGCTCTAACACATTGATTCAATGCTTGTTGCTGAGGAGTACAAGGTGGAGGGCGCAATTCTGGTAACCATGCTGTTAAAGTCACCACGATCATACCCTATCACAACAATTTTTTATGGAAAATTCAATTATTATTGTATGACCAAAAAGATCCACGAATATAAGTGTGACAAAAGATATAGCGTTGTCACGTTAGGAATTGGATATATGAAGTGATTTGTTTGCGACTAGAAAAGGTGGGTGCAGAAGACTTAGCGAATACAATTATGAATAATCCACTGATCCAATTTATTTCTTCCATGTTTATAATATGGAAAATTACTTTTATTCCATCTTTACTATTAAAGTACAAGTGGGCTAGCTTAATATCACAGGTACAATAATTGGATAAGGAAATAAACGCAGAAAAAACTTATAAAACTTTAATAGACTAAAATAGAAAATTATTTTAAAAGTTATTATGAATCACAATAAATAAAATAAAATGTTGTTATTTATCTAAGTTGTTGTGGTGTGACTGTCTGCATCGATACAGTGAGCTACGAAAAAAATATCCTTGATGTATGACCATTATTACTATAAAACTTTGAATATAGTCCATAAATTACGCAATTGCAGTAACATCTCTATTTCTTTATTTTTATATTCTTTTTGTCTCTTTCTTTGTTTCCGTCCACGGTTCCCAGTGACTCTACATATTGTCTGATATTGAAATTTCAGTTTTACTATATAAAATAAATATTCATATTTTAATTTTAAATATATCACAAATTTAATTTATTAAAAATTTTAAAGCAAAATACAGTATACACTTAACGAGTGACCGAATAACAGTTACGAAAGAAGTGACCATTTTATTTATTAAATTAAATTAAAACGGCAGCCGCTCCTAGTTGACATCGTGATAATTAAAGAACAACAAAGTAAAATAAAAATATAAAACATGGATGAAAAACAAATCATGAACATAACAACTCTATGTGGGAACTATCGATCGTGTTCTCCAGAGTCAGAAATTGCAGCAAATTAAGTGACAATAAATAAGCTAGTTCATTGAGACTATTATAATAAAAATATAAAGAGAAGTAGATAGAAATAAGTACCAGTAGAGAAGAAAAGGAAGCAAAAGCTATAGTTCGGAAGCGACCCACGTAAGCATCAGAAACGAAGGCCCCAACCAATGGAAAAAAGTTGGTAATACCACTCCATATGTTGAGAATGTTTGAAGCATAAACTTGGTCCAAATGAAACTCTCTCGTCAAATACACCATAAAGTTAGCAAACAAACCAAATGCTGCCAACCTCTCAAACGTTTCATTGCCTGTAACAATAGCAAAAAAACAAATCAAATGCAAAAAACAAATCAAATTTTTGTATAATTGATCTTACTTTTCGTACAAGAATGACATGATTATATAAGGATATATATATAATAAGACCTAAAATAAAAGGCATAGCCTTCCATCCTCCAGGTTTCTTATTAGTTGACCCTGAACTATATTTGCTTGGTTCTTCACTCTTCAATTCTTTTTCTTCCATTGAAGTTGAAGAAATGCTACTTCTGCAGCATACAAGTGACCAAGAAGAGAGTTTATCCTTTGTGGAGGGCATTTTCTCACAGTATATATATCTCTCTATATTCACTAAATTGCTCTCCACTGTGGTTCCATATATGTGTTAGGCTTTGATGGGTTAGAGCTAAGAACCCAAGACACTGATATATATAATGCAATGCACAATGATTGAATGGCGTAGTAGGAATGCTGGTATTGGATAGGCAGAGAATACATCCAAACAGGAGAGACTACTTAGAACGTGTGATACGTTTAGCCTACTGACTCATGCACGAGCAACATGTTCAAAGGATTGCGTGCTGTGTTTGCCATGTTCAGTGGACGGGTGGGGACCATGCACCTATATTCAAATCTGTTCCGATCCATGCCACTATCTTTAGGAGCCACTTGTACCATGTGTACATTGTATATTTTGCAAATTAGGGTTGAGCATGTGAAAAGGGTTTCTGTTTTTATTTTTACTAAATTGTCCAAGAGTTAGAACTTTATCCCAATGTAGCTTAACTGTAGTTTAATAGTTTTACTTGATCACTTTGTCCTCTTAAATGGATTATCAACTCCATTTTAAATTAATCGAGCATATAATTTTTATTCCTATTTCCTTCTGTTAATGGGTTTAAAATTGACCCTTATTTTTCAATTTTTTTTTTTATATTTTAATAAAGCTCTGCGTACAATTTCGTCTACTCTACAACAGTAGATGTATGTGCAATTTACTTTACGGCCTAAACATAATTAAAAACAGTACAAACAAATAAAAAGACACGTGTAATTTAATTTCAAATAACAAATGTGCGCATAAAAAATGAAAGATAAGACACCAAAAAAGTTATTTTTTATTTTAAAAATAATCATAAAACAACATAACGAGGTGATAGAGCACAAATAAAAATAAATTATTAGTTAATAAATTGAAGAAAAACTTTTTATCCCATCACTGCACTATTACAGAGACAAAATTATCCAATATACTCCCTCACTATTTTAACACTTTCCTACAATAACATTGCAACTACCACCACCTCTATTACTTAGTCAATGATGTTATTGCCCTTTAATAATAATAATAATAATAATAATAATAATAATAATAATAAATTTATTATTATTATTAGTGAATACTTTTGTAGCATTCGGTCTAATATTTACGCATTATTAGACATCATACAAAAGAAATTTATCAATATTAATTGTGTATTGATCACCAAACATTGGACAAATTTAAAAGTTATATCATAACTTGGCTACTTGTGTTATAATATTTTGTTCATGTTGCGTCTCAATATGCATCAAGTTCGTCTTAGTTGTTACCTTAAATCAATTTATTATGGTACATAAGATTGATTTATTATAAATTTCAAAGAAAAATATATATATACAAGTATAATCAATGTTACTCTCATTATAGGTATATAATCAATGGTACATAAGTATATAATTTTGATGCATCTAAAGAAAAAGTAGAAGATAGAAGGAGAGGGGTGTACGTAGTCTATAGATGAGAATAACTTTAGAAATTTTGTTTTAAAGTGAAAGTACTTTAAATATTGTTTATTATTTTTTATAATTATTTTAATTTAAAATCAATTTTTTTAGTTAACTTTTCTTTTCTTTAAATTATTTTCCATTTTAATTTTTATACATTATATTAAATTGAAGATACATTTCTTTTTAAGCAAACTGAGTGTTATTATAATTATTGTAAGGTAAAATCAATTTGAATTTGAATTTGAATTTTAAATTTTGACACATCATAAATAAAAAAAAATGAATTCAAACTTTATTTGAATTATTATATTTTATAAGTTTTTATATTTTTAATTTAATCCTAGTTAATATAATATGTATTACTAACGACAAATATTAAATATTTTTAACTTAAAAAAAAACCATGTAATATATTTTAAATTTTTTATTTAAAAATATTGTAATTCAATATAATACTTGTAAAAAAAATGTTGTTACTATCGAATTATATATGAATATAGATGCATATATAGCATTATTGAAGTATGTATGAATATGTAAAATAATTAAATATCTGTCGGAAAATTAATAATAAATAAATAAATAAGAAAAATATAAAATTTACGTAAGTGTGAATATGACCACTCACCCAATACGTTGTGGTGCAATTTTCAATTTTTTAAAATATAATTAATTTATAACACTACTAAATATTAATTAAGATCGGCTGATTTTATCCACTTGTAATTCAAAACGGGAACACACAGAACAATATGGTGAATGGTATATATATATATATATATATATATAACAAACTAACACTTAATTGGTATTAAAACACGTGGATATATAATATTCATTATCAGCTGAATTTTTTATACTTAAATTATTAAATTTTTATCAGCTAAAAGATTATTATATTCTTAAAATTTGTAAAAAGCACACGTATTGAAAGATATATATAACATTTTGATTGAAAAATATAAATATGATAATTTCAAAAGAAAATTTTCAAGAAACTTATCTACACTTTTGTTGATGAATGAGAATGGAGGTGGCATCACATCGAGTACATTATGGAACATTGTTAAACCGCAATTCGACTAACTATTTATATTTGCTATATTTGAAAGATAACTCAAATTCTAAATCTTAAATTCAAACTAAAACAGGATTAAATATCATTTAAATTTAAACAAAGTATACTTACGTTACTCAATCTATTTTTAAGATAAACGTTAATATCATTTAAATATCATTAACTTATGTTGACTTTAAATGTTAATTTTTGATGCACAAATTACTAAGATAAAATAAATAAGTCTAAATTTAATTATGATCAGTTTATTTCTCCCATCTTCAATTAATTGAGGTCACTTAAATAATTCATTTATGTCCGGCAAGGTGATTCTACGTGAGACAAATAAAATTATTATAATTAATCATACTTAAATCAAAGAATTATTTATTTAAAATAAAATAATCAATCATACAGTTCTTAATAAATGCAGGAAGTGTTTTTTCTTTTCTTTTTAATAATATAAAACGAGAATGAGAGATGTTTGTATAAAGTTTTGACAAGTATATGCACAATTTGTGCTAATTCTATTGATATTCTTGCCAACGCACGTTATCACTTATCATCAATATACATGATGAGACATTTCTGCAGTTTAAGTTGATCACAATGAAACATCCGTAACCAATAGCTACGATTCAATCCAACAAAATAGTTAATTTAAGCACACTTTGGCATAACCATACTCAAAAATAAAATAAAACTAGAGATAAATATTATCCCACTCGATTTTGGCAAATACTGCTTCTGTTAATAAAAGTTCTTGATGATTTATCTTCCATGACTTTAGAGCCAGATATGCATTATTCGACCGTGAGTGGAAATCAATCAATAACAGTTTTTTGGATAAAGAATGAATCACTTAATTACATCATATAACATTTAAATTTAAAGGAGTACAATAGTGTATTTTGTGATGACTTTTTTTCTATTAATGTTTATGTTGTTTTATAAAAGAAATATTAAATGAAAAAATAAACACATAATTATTATGTTAAGAAACTTCAGTCTAATTCAATTTCAAAAACTAGCTCTTATAGTCAACGTGAGATATTTTGTTAAAATTACAATATAAATTATTTCAAAGATAATATAAATGGGTCAGATAGATTCATATCAACTCTGTGTTCTGTGAAGTTTAATGTAACAGCTAAAATTTAAAAATATTTGGATAATATAGTTTCAGCTATGTTACGAAGCATTTTAGCATGACTGTGAATTTATTTGGATACAATAATAAATGAAAAAAGAAATTAAACAAAATTAAGAGAAATATTATTTCATTAAAAAAAATTTGTATTACTTACAATTTTTTGTATAATTTTATTTTCAATATAGAATTTTAGAGACGCTTTTGAGAAAAAAATATTTTTAAAAACTATTTACTAAAGTATAATTTTTTTATCACTTTGAGATAAAGTGTCAGTGAAAACTCTCTCAAATTGGTAATTTTGTAATATTTTGTAATAAATAATTTTAGAAAATACTCTTATTTGATGAAAGGCCCATTATAGTAAATAATATTTATAAATTAGACAAAAAAAAATATGATAATAAAAGATAATGAAATATTATGAGCATCTACATATTGATTAGTCAAAAAAAATAATCTAATATACAATTTTTTGTTTTTTTCCTCTAAAAATTTTGTTTGAGAATTAATTTTTTGAGGAAAAAAAAAGGAAGAAAAAGATTTATGTGATTGATTTATATATTTGTTTTTTAATATTTACATGAGAGATAGAGAATTGATAAATCTTCTAAAACTTTCTTAATTTTTTATTTTTAAGTTTTTTTAATTTTTAATATTTTGTGTTAACTTTCAATTTTTTTCTTTTTCTTTTCTTCTCTCGTCCTTCACATTTTTCAAATCATTTTTTTCTCTCTTCATACTTTCAAACAGTCGAAGCCTTATATTTTAATACCAATTGTTCGAAAAAAAAAAAACTTTCACATGTTTGGTACTTGAAAGCAAGTTTTGCCTATGTCCATATATTTACAATAATTTTTTATTTTTTTTTTGCATTATGTGTTGTTAGTGTAGCAATTGTGAGTGAAAAATGTCCTCATTGAATAGGGATGGACAAGTAAAAACAAAAACCCTGTTGATTGATAAAGGGAGGATCTTACTAAAATTAAGTTTTTAGAAGAATGAAAAAAAAACTTTTAACATAGTGAAAAAATTGTCGAATTTTGAACGATAGGTATATTATGTTGATATATAGACACTGTTTACATAAATATTAGGTTAAAAAAAAAAATGAAGATAGGGGTAATAAATTCTTATAAATGTGAAGATTTAGCAAAGATAAATTTTATGATACACATGATTTTTCAAGGATCATTTATTATTTTATGTATTTTTATTTTTTAAAATTATTGAGTAATATCAAAAATTTTGTTTACATTAAAATTTTCTTTCCATTTTAAAAAATATTAGCTTGTCAATATGGTCACTTTCAAATTATTTTATATGAAAATTTTCTTTTCATCTCAAATGTCAATTACTTGTAAAATAAAATATTTTTTTATTTTTTAAAATTTGATCTCCTATTTTCAATTTGAACCATTTATATTATTTATGTATATATTTCTTATAATTTTAAATATTTTTATTTAAAAATTTTGCCAAAATTTAATGCCGGTGCATTATAAAAATACTTTCTATATATAGTCTTGTTTACTCAAATCTTAAGGATTTAATGTTCAAATTGCAAACGATAAAAACTACTTGTTTGGAAATTATAGACAAAAAATGTCCATTCCCTGACCCAATGTAAGTGACTAGCTTCATAAAGAAACATTGGGTTTCAAACACGAAAGAAATGTACATAAATCACTTGGAAAACATTTTCAACTATCTTAATATACTTAGCTAAGCACGCATTCTTATCACACAAATTATTGTTGGCATGTTTGGCCGTAAAAAAGAAAGTTTTGCTTTCAAGGACATGTTTATGGTCGGATATCATTACATGGGTATGTCCTCAGCTCTAACTATGGTTCTGTAACCATATCTAGTAATGAGCACAGATTATGAAACAATGCAAATTTACCTCCATAATATTTAAGAGATGTACTCTAATTAGCCCTTTATTAATGTCACCGTCCAGCCATTGAAGTTGGTCTTGTTTTCTTGTAGAATCATGGATAATATTCACTATATATGATGACCCATATGCAGTGTTTCAAAATCACAATTGAACATCATAAATAAGTTATTGTAAAACATTAAAACAAACTTTGTATTGTAATAATTTTAATGATTATGTGATAAAAAAAACAAAAAGAAAAATTGAAAAGATCTGAACTCATTTTATGCCGTGATAGTATATCTTTGATTAGGATGGTATTATATACTAGTATGAACATAGAAGTTATTTGTTTCAAGGTTTACCTCTCTATTATGGTTACAAAATATTCTCATATTGCTTCAAATTTTGAAAACTTATATTCTGTCATGCATTTTTTTTTTATCACATTCTTATCCTTTCACTCCCGTAGGAATTATTCATTCTCGTATGAATGATTGAAGTTTAATAAATGGATTGTGGGTAGTCATAATGGATAGTGGAATGAAAAAAAAAACGAAAATTTATTTATATTTAGAGATATTTTTGTTTGATATTCCTGAAAATAAATTTTTAAACTATATAAAAAATACCAAATATAGACATATAAAAGATCTTAAAGAATAATATTTTTAGGAAAAACATTCCCACAAATCTTATTCACAGAATGAAAAATCCTACCCTAAAACAAATGCAACCATATAATTTAATGTTTTTTATTCTGATGACGTTGAAGGTACATTGATTTATTTATTAATTACAACACAATGCACCTCAAGGCTCAAGCTGTGTCTACTACTTTTACCTTCACATTGAACTTGTAGCTATAGCGTTTGACACAAAACATGAGGTAGACAAGATTGAGAGCACCTAACCCTGCAATGAGGTGGTAATAATAATCCAATCTACCAGCATTGATGTCATCGTTCAGCCAATCTGTTCTACCTAGTTTTTGCGTCACTTTGTGCACAATGTCCACCACCAAGGTGCCAATGTAATTTGAGAAAGCCAACACAAGAAATTGCAATGAATTACCAATACTTTTCATTTTCTCTGGTGATTCACTATTGTAGAACTGAATGTGTCCAACAATGGTAAACACTTCACAAAATCCTAGTAGGACATATTGTGGCACTAGCCACATGGCAGAAATGGAGGTAGTTCCATCAAGTGCAATTCCATGTGACATAGCCACACCCCTTCTTTTCCCCTCCACCAAGCCAGCAGTTACCATTGTAAAAATTGAAAAAATGTTACCAACTATTATCTTTTGAAGGCTTGTGAGCCCTTCCTCATGTTTGGTGATTTTTGCTAGAGCTGGTTGCACAAAGAGTTCATAGCATGGGAGCCATATACCAATGGTGATTAAGGATGCTACACCAAATGATGCAGCAGGAATTTCAAAGTGGGGTCCAAGGTGCCTATCCATTTTCATGGCCTGAGATATGGGAAATGTGCTTTGTTGTGCATTGGGTATCAAACAGACGATACCAGAAGCCCAAATTGGCAGCATTTTAATCAAACATTTGACTTCCTCAACTTGTTGAATGCTGCAAAGTCTCCATGAGTTTGTTACCTGACCTTGTGCATCAACTTCAGTGTCTTGGATCAGAGCAGCTTTGTTTAAGCACCTATGCAAAAATCAAATTGGTTCTTAGTTCTCACATAGCTACCAAAAAGTTTGTCCTTAATTAGACAAATAATGATATTTTCCCTATATTCTCTGTAATACTTTTGTATAACTTTTTTTTACAATTATTAAAGATAAAAAGTAAAAGAAAAAAATGAGATAAGAAAAATAATTTGTAAAAAATTAAGGGTGTAAAAAAAATTAATCTAATTAAATGATGAATAAATAGAGTTACATTACCTGAGTTGTTTGGTTAGAGGCATCTTGAGTGTTTCATCATCTTCAAGTGGGGGATCATAGTAAGCACTTTCCTCTTCTTTTGATGGATTTTGGTGGTGATGCTTCTTATAAGCTGCAACAAACACTTGTGCAATACTAGAAAATATGCTCCCCTCTGCTGGAACATAAACATAAACTCTTGTTCCAACAAAAAAGATGATAATTGCACACATCATTAGCAGACTTAGTGTGCCAAAACCCAAGGACCAGTTTTTGTTTTGGAGGTAAACTACTGCTGTCATGCTGATTAACTGGACCACTGTTTGTGCAGTGAAGTACCAACTAAAGAAGCTGCTCACTCATTTCCTTCCTTCAGGGGAAGTTGTGTCAAATTGATCAATGGCAAAGGGAATAGTGCATGGTTTAATTCCACCTGTGCCTAGAGCCATCCAACATAGGCCAATAATTAAGATGGCAAGCTGAGTGCTTGTGGGGGACACACAATCTTGCTGAGGAGAAGTGCAACTTGGAGGATGAAATTGTGGCACCCAAGCTGTTAGTGTTAGTATCAACATTCCCTAATCAATCACCAATCCATGGATTAATTTGTGCTCAGCCATATAAAGAATGCAGTATCAATCTATGAATCACTTAATCTAAAATATAAGACACCAAAATGTTACGTGTACGCACATCCACACATAATTTTGTATAATGATAAACATTACAAGAAAATATTAAGAGATGCACATATACACGTATATAAATTTGTATAATGATAAACCTCGCAAAAGATATTAACAGATATTATTTTGCAATTTAAGCACTCAGTTTACTTTTTAAAAAAATCTCAAAATAAGAGGATGAAATTATATAGTAAAAAAAGGAATATTTATCTTTTCAAATTAACATAATAAGTTTTATATTTTTTTTTATGACAATAAGCCTTAAAAAAATAAGAAACGTTATTTTCATAATAACTTTTATAATGTTTTAAGTAAACCTTTTTAAATTAAAAGATAAATATTTTTTTAATAATACTAACACGCATTTATTCTTATTAAAGTGTCTATTCAAGTATCTGACCAAAACAGAAGTATTGACTCCAGAGTGTCTAAACCAACTCGAAATAATTTTATAATTAAATATCTTGTGTTGTGTTGAGGTTAAAATTTTACCCTGCACGGATATAATAAGATTCTAGTTCTAGTATTTAACAAAGAAGAAAATTATTCCTAAGACGAAAAAGAAACTTTCAATAAATAATTTGTAGTTTTGGTTAGTTAAATTTAAATTTAATTGTTTATTGTGTCCTTCTCATTTAGACTGTGTAATTTTGTTTTTTATTTTTATTTTTTCTCATTAAATAAGTACATGTTTTAGAGAGTTTAAATCCAGAGGAATAATCTTTCGTTTTTAAAAATTTCTCTCAAGAAAGCAATTATTTTAAAAATAAATTGAACTAAACATACAGTAAGTCCTTTTATTCTCCAATTCTCGTAAATTAATTTGTGAATTAATGGTGAGTAAAGTGAAATTCCCCAAACCAGAGAGAAGCTAAATTTAATCCTAATTAGAACAAAACTCAGATTAAATAAAGCTGTAATATTTGGTACATGAATGAGCGATTCTATCTTGGGTTCACAGAATAAGGAGGAGAGTACATATACCAGAAGTGTTCCAAATGATGCCATAGCAATGGTTTTGAATTTTCCTAAACAGGCATCAGCGAGAGCAGCACCAATAACTGGTATGCAATTGCTCACTCCATTCCATATGCCAATAACATTTGAAGCAGAAACCTGACCCAAGTTGAAGACTTGCAACAAATACACCATGAAATTTGCTGTCATGCCAAATGTTGCTGTTCTCTCAATTGTCTCATTTCCTGCAAAACCATATAATTAGCTCAACTTGATAACAAATAGCCAATAATTTTATACATTCATAAATGCAAATATTTTATATTCATAAAGAGAGAGACCTAAGATGTAGGGAATGGCCTTCCATCCGGGCTTTCTCTGATTTTCTTTTGCATTTGAGGTATCCAAATCATCTTCTTCTTCTGAATTTCTTGAATTCCAACATCTGCTACTGGTGGACCAAAGAGATCTTCTATCTTTTCTCTTGTTCTCCTCCATCAATCTTAATCCAGATATCCTTGTGTGTTTTTAACTTATATATGTCCTTTCATTCTTATATTTACCAATACTTGTTTTAATAAACTTCATTTTATTGGATAATTATCAGTTTTTTTTTTCAGCTTATAAAAAAATTATTGTTAATATAACACTTCGTCATTGAATGACGGTGTAAAAAAAATTGAGTTTCATATAAGATAATTTATTATACAATACACGTTAAAAAAATTAAATAATAATTTCTTGTCAGCGTTTTGAGAGATAATTTTTAAAAAGAGATATTTATTATTTAAAATTAATGGTTACCAAAAGTGTCGAAGCAACAGTGAAGCAGGGGACCTGAAAAGCAGGGGTGGGGCATGCATATATGCATTAAAGTCAGGAATGAAAAAAAGGAAAAAAGAAAGAGAAAGGTATAATTTATTTATAATATTTAATATTATCAATGTATTTAATTATACAATATTTTATAAAATTTATTAAAAATACTATACATAAATTTTGATTGTATTTTCTTAAATACATATTAAAAAGTGATATAATAAATAATATAAAACATTATGTTTGAATTCTCATTTTATATTCTTAAAGATGAAGTAACTTTTTTATAAACAAAATATTTTTTTCACGTTTTATCGTAATCATATTTGTTTCTATTTCATTATGCGACATATGTTTACAAAATAAATTTATATTTTTCAATCAATTATATAATCAAATATAATTTTATATTTTATTAGAATTTAATCTTATTTAATTAATGTGAAACATAAAAAATGTTTACAAATAATATTAATTAAAAAATATTATATCACTTAAATTAATATTAAAAATTTATATTTAAAAATTTAAAAATATTTATTTTTGTATTTCTATTGTTAATAAAATAAATTTTTAAAATATATATTTTATCACATTTTTCTACAATTATATAGTTGTATAATAAAAAGAATAATTATTAATAAAATCAACACTCATTCAATTTACTGTTAATACTCGTACTCCCGTAACTAGAAGGGAATCCATATGATCTTCTCTTTCAATTATACTCTATCTTTATACATAAAATTAAGATTGAAATAAATAATTTTCGTTAAATATCTTAAAATATTGTTTAGTTATAATGTTAAAAGAATTAGATATAATAATTTATTATGTTTTAGGTTTAACTTTTTGTTAAATTAACAAAATTTGTGATACATAGTATTTAAATAGTTTAACGTCACTACATGCTTATTTGAAAATTTACATAAAATACTGCTAAGTATGTGTAGAATTTGATGTAAAAAAAAGAAATAAAAAAGAGATGTAATGGTGTAATTTATAGTAGTATAAAAAATTTAGTTCCAGAAGAATATTATTATCTTCGATAACGATGTATTAAATGTTAGTGAAATATTTTATTCTATTAAATATCTTTCTTGAAAGTGACTCGTGGCAGTACTTTTGAAAAACTTAATTTTGTATGTGATTTGAATTAATAATTCTTGATATGTAATGTATGATTATTTTTATTTACTTATTAAAAATTAAAATTACCAAAATAAAAGTATTAAATATTAAGTGTATTTTTATGAAAATAATAAAAAATTAAATATATTTTACAGAGTTACATTTTTGTAAGATTTATATTAATTTTTATTTTGGTATTTAATTTTTCAAAATTCAACATTTTAATTTTTCATAAGTTTTACACAATAATTAGTCTAATTAAAATGTTGTGATGAGTTCAATTTTTGTAAAATCATATTAATAAAAGATATTAAAAAAAATCACAAAAATATTAGAATAAAAAATTACCTTCTTCATTATTTTACAAAATTTTGTTAAACTCTTCCTGATCATATTATATTGTTGAGATTAAATTTGTTACATAAAATAAAGACCATGTAAGAACATTGTTGAAGTTGAGATAAATCCTATTATGATATATTAAAAGCTAGCAGTAAATTAATTCACAACTATCATGAAAAATTTGTAGTTAGTTTTTACTCCAAACTTAGAGTATCTAGTTTGTGATCCAAAAGAACATTCGAATCATATGGATTGAAAGTAACTTAAAAAAAGTCATTAATCTTTTTTTCATGTTCATCCTCCTTCTCCACCCTATGCATCCTTTAGTATGTAATAATAGAAATTCTCTTAGAAACATTAGTTTTGTTAGGCTTACTCATACATAAAAAGAAGCAAACTAATGTACTCATACACTTGCTAAAATAGGTCTTACCTCCCTCTTCCTTTACTCCCATCTTAAACTTGGATGCTTGTAATTTGTGGTTCTTTAGAGTTTTTTTGCGTTTTGAGTTGCTAAGCCCATTTTCTAGAAAAAATAAAGTCTTATTATGATATTTAATATATATATATATATATATATATATATATAAAGAACTAAATTAGATAATTTTAAAGATGTTAACATGTTACTTTTTATACATAAGTGTTAATACTTTCTTCGTCTATTAATATCTTCTTAAAGTAAAATTTAACTATCTAAGCAAATTTTTATTAAAATATTTATTATAATAAAAATATATTTTTTAATGATAAAATTATTATTATTAATTTTTTAATTTTTAATTTTAAATATTGAAGTTAGGAAAATTGTTACGACCCTTTTTTATTTTTTAAGAATTGATGACATTTAGCATTACCATTTCTAATTCACTTATCCATTTATTGGATATTATATACATGAATCCTTAACATTCACATCAACAAAATAATGAAGTTCCTTAGATATTTTCATATAAAACCAAAATTTACATAAATTTATATATTTACAACAAATTGATTAAGTAAGGAATTCAAAATACAAGTGTTAGACATATAATTATATTCCTTGGCAAATTAGTAACCCAACAGTCTAGACTTAATGCTCAAAATCTAGACTAACAAAATGATTATCATGATCTTCCAAAATGTTAACTCCAATGTCTCTCAGTCAAATCTTCCAGTTTGAGAAGTAGATGCATTCCCTGTAACTTCTGCTCATGTATCATCGTACGATCATTGCAGTACACATACCAACACAATAAGATGCAAGGGTGAGCTTATAAAATTTACAATCATAATATAGAATATGAATATGTAAAGCGTATTAAACAACTAACATATTTTACAACATTCAACACAACAGATTCAATGAATTGATGCAGCATGCTCAGCCTATTCTCAGCTCAACTAATGCAAATGCAACGATTCAGTTTCATCTGGTTTCACAGCTTAAGTAATCTAGAGAAA